ATTTGTTGATTCTTTGTGCTAGTTTCCGTGCTACTGAGGATTTGTTCAAAAAGTTTTTTCCTATACCAATGACTTTAAGTTCTACCTAACTTATCTTCCAGCAAGTTTAGTGTTACTGTTTTAGTATTTAGATCTTTAATCCATTTCAATTTTAGTTTAGTGTATGGTGAAAGATAGGGGTCTTGTTTTAATCTTTGGCAAGTTGAAATCCAGTTTTTCCAACACCGTTTATTAAACAGTCTATCTTTCTTCCAGTGAGGATGGTTGGCTCCTTTGTCAAAGATGAGGTAGCTGAGTATGTCTGGAGTTGTTTCTGCATCTTTGCCAGTACCGTGCTGTTTTTATTACAGTGGATTTGTAATATAATTTCAAGTCGGGGATTGTGATACCCCCCGTCATGTCTCTCTTGCCTAGAATTGCTTTTGCTATTCTAGGTCTCTCCTGGTTCCAAATGAATTTTTGGATAGTTTTCTCTAGCTCTGTGCAATATACTGTTGGGATTTCAATCAGGATTGCATTGAATCTGTATAGCAGTTTTGGAAGTATGGCCATTATCACTATATTAGTTCTTCCTACCCAGGAACAAGGGATGTCTTTCCATTTTCTTATATCCTCTTTGTTCTCCTTTTTCAGAGTGCTATAGTTTTCAGTATAGAGGTCTTCTGCTTCTTTCGTTAGATTGATTCCTAAATATTTCATTTTTTGGATGCTATTGATACACAAACTATTTCTATGAAAACCAAAACCCGAGAATGGGATTTTAAGAAACATCTCCCCTCTTAGCAAGTGTGAAACTTGGGAATTGGTAGCTAAGACTATGCTGTTTTAGGTAGATGAGGCAAATTGTTTCTCTTCCCATTTCACAGCCCACGTACTCAATGGGACTCTGGGTTTCCGGCGTTCGTGTTTATTTTCAAGGTGTGAGGAGGACACCAACGAGTGCGCCTCGGATCCGTGTCTCCACGGAGGCGTGTGCCGTGATTTACCCAATGGGTTCCAGTGCCTCTGCGACGTGCCCTTCGCGGGCGAGCGCTGCGAGCTGGATGTAAGCGGGGGGGGGTCCCTCTAGGTCTCTCTCTTGCTGTGGCAGAACCTCTTCCCGCTCCTCTCTTACCTTGTCCTGCGCCTGCACGATGAGCCAGTGGTGGATGGGATGAGCAGAAGATTATTAACGTGCGTTTGAGCATGCCCGAGAGGAAAAGCCACCCGTTGGGTTTCAAGAAGCGGCTTGCCATGGGGCCGGGGATTTAGCTCAGTGGTTTTGCCTCCTGCTGCACAAGCTCAAGGTCCCGAGTTCGATCCCCGGTACCAAAAAAAAAACAAGACAAGAAATGGCTTGCCTCATTTTAGATTTCTAAAGCAGAAAAACTGAAAAAAGTAAAATAAAAATCATCTTGAAAATGAAAATTAATTCAAGGCCTGCTTCAAGCATCTCACACACACTTTCTGTCTGTATAAAGTATTTCCCTATTCTAGCTTAAAAATGAAAAAAAGTCCTTAATATAGACACAAATATCTCCTTATTGAGTGTGTTTAGCACAACTGTATTATCACTCTTAAAACTCCCATATTTGAATGGTTGCTATTGCAATTAAGAAACTATTTTCTCCCCCACTCTATTTTTGGACATATGTACTTTCCCATTGCAAGTTGCCCTCATTCACTGATTCCATTTTTATTAATGCTCTTTAGTCTCCTCTATCATTTATGACATGAAAATTTGAAAATTACTATAAATGTGTATATGTGTGTGTTTATTGAAAAAAAAATTGTTGCCAGTGACATATGTTGAGAGAGAGAGAGAGAGAACAGGGAATTACATCCCTGAAAATATAGAAAGAGAAGAAGAGAATGATGTGGTAACTCAAATTATACATCACAAGTAAAATTTCTGATTTCATAAGACTTTCATAAAACCTTCTTCCAACAAAATGACTGTAGCATTTTATTTCTTTTTCTTTCAGTATTTCCCCTTTCCACACAAATACAATAATTTTTGTCAATTTCTGATAAATTAATGAATTTGTTGACTTTTGTTAATTTTTACTGGCATATTGTTGTTTATACTAGATATCTTTGTGTGGATGTATTCTTCCAAAGGAGATGTTATATGAAAGGGAAAATACTTTGATTCTATGAATTAATTTATAGCAGTTAAAATAACAATGGCCTGCTCGATGTCATTTTGTAAATGTGTCTATGTCTTTAGGAACTGCCCTGGCTTGAAAATGCAAGGATAATGTATCCATTGGATGATATCCAAAGCACATTTAGTTCTAACTGTTTTTAAGAAAGCTTTTTTTCCTGTGGAAATGACCAAGGTAAACCTACATGTACCAGTCAAGATAAATAGGACAAAACAGTAGATTATAAAAGCAAAGAAAATTAGTTCCATTTTATTTTGCAAGAATGATAGAAGATTTTAAGTAGCCAATTCATATCTTGTGTAGTTGGCAGTCATTTCAAACTGACTGAAATTTTTTCTTTTTACTCATTCATTTATACTCATTTTAGATTGTCTCTTCCAAAGTGAAATTTTGTGACAAGAGCCTTGGAGAAACCTGTCCCACCAGTATTTACAAGTGTTTTCAATAAGCATTAAACAGGTTATAACCAAAAACTATATATGTAGTTTTCTCATTTACTCTCTTTTAGACATAGCTATAATTGTGTGTTTATGGACCATTCCAAAGGTTATATGTACTCTACCACATATATTTAAGAAATATTCACTCAGTCTCTTTCTCTGTAAAATTCTGATTATCTCTATTGTCACTGTAATTGTCAATTGCTTTTCTAATTTTCAAATATCCTGTCATAAAATATCTGACTTTAAAAATAATGCTTTCTCTTTTTTCTTTCTCCTTCTGTATTTTCAGCTGTGTTCTTTGTGACTGTGGCTTTTACACATTTGCCCAGAAAAATAAAACCTTTTTTCCGCATCCCGCATCTTTTTTTCTCATCTTCTGGTGATGCTTGTCTTTGTTTGCCTTAACTGTGTCTTGCAGTGTAAGGTTCACAAGCCAGACACACACACACACACACACACACACACACACATACCTCACTTCAGAAAACAGAAGCTAGTGCTGACCTCCTGAATTGTGACCTATTCCCCACATGTGTTACTGTAAATAACACTGTACTATCGAGGTCGACATTCTGTGTACTTTTGCTCTCTGGCAAGTAATAGTCTAGTTGGCATTCTAGAATTGATGGCTTTCTAATTGTTCTTATTATTGGTCTATATTGTCCCTGAAAAAGGTAGTCTTTTGAGTTCAATCTAGTTCTAAAGAGGTGTGGGCTCCACTAAGGGGCAAATACACACCCTCTATTCTAAAACATGGCTTGCATTTACTTGAATATAAACTAATTTCATTCTTCTCACTTTTCAGATTTAACATCTGAACTAAAAGGGATGTGTTTCTGGTGTCAGCTGTGCTTCCCCCTCGGTGTGTGTGTGTGTGTGTCCTTGTGTGTGTACATGTGTGCACATGGGAGTTCATCATCATCCCTTTTGAAGGACAGAGAAGTAGAAGGCATAGGCAATTTTGAGGAAATTGGTATTTTGATAGCAAGGAGAAACAGAAAAATTCAATTATCATCATTTGAAAACTTATTCTGTACCCAGATTGTAATAAAGCATTTTTAAATACATGACTTTCAGTTATTTTTTTCAATACAAGGTCAATCAAAATTTCTTACCTTCTAAACACCTCACTAAATTCTTTTTGAAAGAGTGAGTCTCTTTCCATTTCTGGGTTTTAAATTATAAGTTATTCAGTCTTCACTTCTCAAAATTAAAATGAAGATTTTTCTAGAACTGGTGCTATGTAAAATTTGAGTTAATGATGCAAGTAGAAAACGAGTGAAGACGTATGTTCCTCAACTGCCAATATTATTACTAATACAGACTATTTTACTTTTTGGATTTATTCCACTAATGCTTAATGAGTACCTGCTATCTGCTATGCCCCATAGTAGGTACTTTGGACACAACAATGAATTAGACATGATGTTTGTTTCAAAACAGGCTGAAGGTCTCAAGGAAAATATGGGTAAACAGAGAACGGCAGGTGCTGGGTCAGGGTTAGGATGGAACTAAGTACTACCTGTGAGAGTGCACATAGGAAGGGGATTTTGCTCAGTCTTCAAAGTGGCTATGGAAGATCAGGGATGTTTCCAAAAGGGGAAGCTTAGATTTGAAGGTAAGCAGGAGCTGAATTGTAGAAGGAGGAGCATGGAGCAGCTGAGAATGTCCCTAGTGAAAGGGGCTACAGAGGCTCGGCCATGTGGCCAGGGCATAGGGTGGGAGTCTGGTAGGGCTGGGGCTAAAGAAAACTACGTCTCCTTTTTAAGCCATGGCAGAGACCTCAATTTTTTCATCCTAAGAGCAACAGGGAGTCTTTAAAAGGTTTCAAACAGAAAAGTCACATAACGACACTTGTACTTTCAAAGATCACTTCAGCTTCTATGTAAAGGATGAATTAAAAATAAAGGCAAGACTGGATCCAGAAAAACATAGTTAAAGGGCCATTCCAGAAATGCAGACAAATGAAAAAGATTTTATGCTTCTTTACATAATTGAAGGTAATGTAGAAAAGGGGATGGATTAACAAAGTTTAAAGCAGTAAGACCTTGTGATTTGGAGAAGGTATAGGTCTAAGGTGGTGATATGTTACGTTTAGTGAATATAATTTTTTAAAATATTCATTCATTGAATAAATGAATGAAAATAAAGTTTTGTAGGTTATCCACATTATTAATTAATCAATGTGAATATTCCAGGCCGGAGTTCAAAAAACAAACTTGGGCTGGGTATATAAATTTGAGATTCAAGTTATAGATACATTGAATTTTGTATTCCATATCTCTATGGGTGTGGGTGTGGGTGTGTGTGTGTGTGTGTGTATATATATATATATATATATATATATATAAATCTATGTTATTTATCAATTGCTCTATAATCCGCTGTACCTGGAACTTAAAGCAACACACCTGTATTACCACCCAGTTTCTAATGGCACAGGAGTCTGGGTATGGCTTAACTGGGTCCTATGCTCAGGGCCTTACAAGGCAACATCAACTAGGGAAGTAGTTACATCTGAAACTCCACTAGGAAGAATCCACATGCAAGTTTACAGGGTTTGTTGGTAGAGTCCAGTTCCTTATGGCTGTGGTACTGGGAGCTTCAGTTTTTTGTGACTGTTGACCAATGAATGGCAGCTCTCACATCCTGGAGGCAGCCCACAGTCCCAGGCCACTTGGGGATCCCCAGAATGGCTGCTTACTTCCCCAAAGCCAAAATGGGAGGAAGAAATTCTAGTAAGACAGATGTTACAGTCTCATGTAACATAATCATGTAGCCATGCTCATAAAATCACATGTATCCCCATACATCTGTCATATTCTATCAGTTAGAAACATCACAGTCACACCCACACACAAAGGGAGAGGGTCAGACAAGTTGAACACCAGAAGCGGAGACTGTGATGTCCAAGTTAGGAGTCTGACTGGCCCGTCATCTCCATTTTCTCTTTCTCGCTCTGTACAGAATACTTTCCTTAGATCTATCTTCCAAGTATGCTGGTCCATCTGTATCTGATCCACTGACAGATTTTTAAATTTCTACTACCTTTTAAATTGCCAGGCATTTTATTATCTTACAGATCAACCTTTTCTTTTGTCCATGTCCTATTTTTCACTATAATTGCAGTTCCTTATTTCATTTTAAATACTTATGATCCTATTTAACAGTCATTTTAAGACTATTCTAATAATTCAAACTCTTTGAGTGCTCATTTTTCTTTTTTCTTTCTGCAGAATTTACTCATAAGAGTTTTTCCTCTTGAGATTTATGATTTTTATCAGTGGACACAATTTTAAGAGGATTTCCTTTTTACTGTGGGGGGCCCTTGTGCGCTTGCTGAGTTGTAGAAATGTTTCTGGCTATAGTCTTAATACATGATAATCTTGGTCTTTTTTTGGGCAGCCAGGAGCCTTATCAGACTAGAGCCCAATTTTGTGTTCCCTGTTTAAGGA